CCCCCCCCCGCAGGGTCTGTACGAGGAGTGCCAGTACCTGTTCCAGCCCCAGCTCATCGTGCAGCGCCTCGTGGGGATCGCCGTGCTGTACCCCGGCTACGTCAGCACCCAGACCATCACGCCCCACAACCGCTCTAGCCTCTACAAGTGAGTGGGGGGCCCTGCTGGGGGGGGGTCACTGCTCTGTGCCGGGGGCTCTCCCAGCTCCCTGCTTGGGGCTGGGGCTGGGGTCCCCGTCAGTGGCAGGGGATCTCCCCACTTCCTGCCCTTCCCAATAACTGAGCCTAGCCGGGGGCCTTTGGGGGGACGGCAGCAGCAGATCATTCAGCCCCCCACCCCTGTTCTCAGGGGGGCGCCTTTCCCCCAAGCCGGTTCCCCTGTGGGCAGACTCAGTCTAGCTCCCGCTGACCCCGGGGTCCCAGGGCACCGGCTTCCCATGCCAAAGGGGTGGGGCCGGAGCGGGAATGTCGTGGGTTGTGTGTGCCCCATAGGAGGGGGCCTGGCTCCTGGCGTGGGGCACGTGGTCTCTGGGGGGGGCAGGGCCATGGGGGTCCACGTGGGGCTGACGCTCCGCTCCTCCGCAGGGTCTTTGTGCCCAGCCACACGTCGCGGGTGCTGGTGCAGGTGCTGGGCTGCCGGGCCGGGAACCGCAGCGCTGCGGGCTGCCCGCTCTGGCTGACGGTGCGAGCCAAGGCCCCCCCGCTGCACAACTCCAGCGCGCTGGACTGCCGGGAGCGGGCGCCCTGCCAGCTGGCCCTGGAGCTGCCCCTCTGGCAGCACTGGTACTACGTGCTGCTGGAGCAGGCCCTGGGCGTGCCGGGCCCCGTCCACTTCCAGCTCACCGTGCAGCTCACAGGTAGAGCCGTGGGGCTGGGCCGTGGGGCGGCTGGCGGGGGAACCACCCCAGGGCCCCAGGACCCGACCCTGTGCAGCCCCCACTGGAGTCCGGGGGGCGGGGGTGGGCCCCTGCGCAATGCGCACAGATGGCCCCGTCCGGGCTCCTGGGTTCTAGCCTGGCTCTGGGAGGGGGGTGGGGGCTGAAAGCCAGGATGCCTGGGTTCTCTCCCCAGCCTGAACGTGGGCAGGGCAGGCCATATCTCTGAGACCGGCTGTGGGCAGCACCAGGCCTGTCTTTGCTGGCAGCAGAACCAGCTTCACGAAGCAGCTCCCCCCGCACACCGCCCTGCATCTCTGCCAAGCGCCCAAGTCACCTCAGCACTAGGGCTGTGGCCCCAGCTTTCCTGGAGGGACCCTTCATTGTGCCAGACCCCCACGGGCCCCTCTCTTCTTCCAGGGAGCCCCCCAGCCCTGTCACCTGTGAGACGGAGCCCCTGGAGCCCTGCCCACCAGCCAGACTCTGAGAGACGTGTCCCCTGTGCAGGGCCCAGCAGCGATCGGTCGGGCCGGTCCGTCGCCTGGCACGGCCCGGGCAGCCCGGAGGGTAGTGCAGGGAATTGAAGGGTGAAGCCCCTGAGCCCAGAGCAATTCACCAGCCAGGCTGTGGTGAGCCCATGTTCCGGCTCCGCGTCTCTCTCTGGCCCTCCTCTGTCAGTTCCCTGGTGAGGGTCCCACGGTCACCCCCATCCCGCACTCCTCTGTTCTGAGCTGGGGTCTGAGCTCTGCTTCCCCCTCTCCGGGTCCTTGGGGGCCAGGTGTCACTGCCCTGGTGACGGATCCTCCATTGATGGGGACTTCCAGCTCAGTCAGCCTGGCGACACTCCTCCCCTCCATGTCTCTTAGCCTGCCCTAAGAGCAAATACAATCCTTCCCCCCGACAGGGTAGCCATGCAAGTGTAGGGGGAAACTGAGGCACATACAGGCATCCTAAAAAAATATCACCAAGAATGCCCACTTCATCCCAATGCCTGACATTGATCCTAGCAGCAAACGCAGCCACCCCCACCCCCGCCAGCCAGGCACAGCCCTCCCCAGAGGGAAACTGAGTCATTAACATACTGGAACAACTCCACAAGGGCTGGGGTGGTGTCTACATCCCTGACAGTTGTGAAATCCAGATTGGCTGGTGTGACGGTGCTGCCTGTGGGAGCCAGCTGAGGTCACTCAATTAGGGTGAACTGCAAACCAAACGGGGCAGACAAACCCCAAACGCTGGTGGAAATTCCAATACTTAGATTTACCAACCAGCCCAAAACAGCTTCTATAGTACCTCACTGGATACTCAGAAGTTCAAACAACGCAGTTCCCTTAAAGTGCTCAGCCTCAGGCCTCCGTCCAGATACACCTGTCAGATATGATGATGATTACTGAAAATCTTATCTCATCATATAAAAGAAAAGGTTCTTCCGATTCCAAAGGATCAGCCACATACCCAGGTCCAATTATAACTTAGATCTTACTCAAAAGACATGCTATAGCCAATTCTTGTTAACTAAACTAAAATGTATTAAAAAAGAAAAGAGAGAGTGTTGGTTAAAAGATCAATATACAGCTGAGAGTGCCAATTCAGGACAAATTGCTCAGAGCAGGGCAGTCACAGCCCAAGACTGGGGGTTTCTACGCACACCAAGGCAAACCAAACCCGCCAGACAGAGAGGACTTTGGTCTCACCCCACTGGCTAACCGCAAGTCACCCAAGCAATTCCCTCAGACACTCCAGTTTCCCAGTATCACCACCAGGGCCACTCGTTATGGGGACAAATGGTTATGAAAACCAATACCCCAATAAAAGATAAAAAGTTCTCCTGATCCCATAGGACCAAGCCCCAGATCCAGGTCAATATACAAATCAGATCTTATCCATAAATCACGCTGTTGCCAATCCTTTAGAATCTAAAATCTAAAGGTTTATTCATAAAAGGAAAAAGATAGAGATGAGAGTTAGAACTGGTTAAATGGGATCAATTACATACAGTAATGGCAAAGTTCTTGGTTCAGGCTTGTAGCAGTGATGGAATAAACTGCAGGTTCAAATCAAGTCTCTGGAATACATCCCCCGCTGGGATGGGTCATCAGTCCTTGGTGTAGAGCTTCCGTTTGTAGCAAAGTCCCTCCAGAGGTATGAAGCAGGATTGAAGACCAAATGGAGATGAGGCATCAGCCTTATATAGTCTTTTCCAGGTGTAAGAACACCTCTTTGTCCTTACTGTGGAAAATTACAGCAAAATGGAGTCTGGAGTCACATGGGCCAGTTCCTGCATACTTTGCTGAGTCTCAAGGCATATTTGCCTTCTCTCAATGGGTCCATTGTATAGCTGATGGTCCTTAATGGGCCATCAAGCAGGCTAGGCAGAGCTAACACCAGCTTGTCTGGGATGTCACCCAGAAGCATAGCATAAGTTTGAAATACAGACAGTATAGAGCCAATATTCATAACTTCAACTACAAAACTGATACACACATATAGACAGCATAATCATAACCAGCAAACCATAACCTTGTCTTAGACACCCCATTTGACCCCCTTTATACAAGATTTGGTGCCACTACAGGACTTTGGTTGCAACCATGATCTATACGGTCTGAGTTCACATCAGTAATGTCACAGCTGGTTTCTGAGAGATATGCCCAGGGGTTAGCACGGGGGCGGGGCGGGTCCCTGGCCTGGGTGATGCCGGGGGAGACTGGTCACAGCGACGCCTTCTGGCCTGGGCCTGTCTGGGAAGAGAGACCCGCCCAGGGGGCAGGGATGGGGCCAGGGGGTCAGAAGGGCGCGTGCTGGGGCTGGCGGGGAGGGCAGCCCGGGGAGCCCAGTGACGGCACGGCTCTCGTCCCCTGCAGACTGCTCCAGGCCCGGCCTCTCACGGGCACCTGTCCTGCTCCCCGCTGCTGCCATGAACATGCCCCAGTCCTTCGGTGCCTTGGTCAGCCTGTCGCTGGGGGAGAGCGCGCCCCCCACGGCGCCGAACGGCACCCAGCCGCCGCCAGCCGTGCCACCCCCCGGCGAGCGCTGCTGGCCCATCCGGCCCACGCTGCGCAACGAGCTCGACACCTTCTCTGTCCACTTCTACATCTTCTTCGGGCCCAACGTCTCGGTGCCGCCCGACCGGCCCGCGGTCTTCGGCATCAGCCTGCTGCCGGTGCTGGACAGCGGGGGGGTGCTCAACCTGGAGCTCAAACTCAATGTGGTGAGTGACCCCCCCACGGCGAGGGCAGGGCAGCACCACTCAGGGGCGGGGGCACTGGCAGGGCTGCGGGGTGCCCGGGGCTGGGATGGGGGGGCTGCGGCTCAGCATTGGGGGGGCATCGGCAGAGCTATGGGATTGTGGGGAGCCCAGGGCTGGGATGGGGGGGCTGCGGCTCAGCATTGTGGGGGCAGCGTCAGAGCTGAGGGGGGCCCAGGCTGGAGTGTCAGGAACTCACTGTTGGGCTCTGTCCCTTTCAGTCGTCCCTGCGGGGGGAGAACGTGACGGTCTTTGGGTGTCTGACCCACGAGGTCCCGCTGATGGCAGGAGACAACGCATCTATCACCTGTGAGACAGGTGAGGGCTGGCCCGCGCCCACCTCCGCGCTCCCCAGTAGGTGGCGCCAGAGGGGTGGGCCTGGGGCTATCGGGGCGCCCAGCGGGGGGCGCTGCAGGTGAGGGGGCTGGAGCAGGAAGGGGTCACTGGCTTGGAGCAGGCCGGCTAACCCGGAGCAGCCCGTGTGGAGGCAGATCCACCTGCAGCCAGCGGCTCTGGTTCGGTGAAAGCTGTTCCCAGCCGGCTCCAGCAACACCCGGACCGCGCGTGGGGGGAGAGCTCGGAGCGGCTCTGGGCGTAGCTGGGCCCTGTCACTGCAGCGTGGGCTGCCCCACAGTGTGGGAAGGGGGCTGGGATGGGAGACCATAATGGGGAGTGGGGGACTCTCCCCCCTGCCACAGCATTGCCCCCAAGGGCCCAGGGCTCCTCCCTTTCCATGGCCCCTATGGGGCTGCCAGGACAGAGTGGGGAGCTCCTGCACCCCAGCCCCTGCTCACTGCCGCTTGCCTCCCCGCAGGGTCCCTGACTGGATTCCTGCTGTCTGTCAACGGCACGGCCAGCCTGGCCCGCTTACGGATCCCCTACCCCCAGACGGGCAGCTGGTACCTGAGCCTGCGCTCGCTCTGCGCCACGGAGCACGGGTAAGGGAGCGCCACGCCGGGGGCCAGGCTGGCACCGGGGGGCGGCTGGTGCATGGAGAGGGGCTGGGGTGGAGCTCAGCGGTGTGAGCTGCGGCTGAGGGTGGGGTGGGACCCGCTGCCCCTTGGCTCACAGCGGGGGATGCCCCATGGGGAGGGGGAATTGGGGGGGCGGCCCTGGCAGGAGGGTGGGGGCTGGGGGGCTCCCTGGGCCTTTTTGTACTTGGCTACTTGAACTGGCCTATGGAGCCGAGTGGCAGCTCAGAGCTGGCTATGCCTGTCCCAGTGCACCCCTTCCCGTGCCAGGCCGCCCCGTGGGGAGCCCTGCCCCTCTCCCTCTGCCAGGGCGGGCCCGGGCTCCGGGCGCGGTGCTGAGCCGGCAGGTCCGACAGGGCTGGGAGCTGGGGGTGTGCTGCCTGGCTGCCCGACCCCACAGCGCTGCTTACTCCGAGCAGTGGGGAAAACAGCTGGGTCTGCCAGTGACTGCCCGGCCGCCCTGAGGGGCACAGCCCGGCCTGGCTTCTGCAGCACCCCGGGGCCTGTGCCAGGCTGGCTTCCCAGGGTCCCCCCCGACAGCCCCCCCATCTCTTGGCCCAGTTGTTCCCCTAGGCACCTGCTCTTCCTTGGAGCCCCCACCAGCTAGGGCGATGGGTCCACACAGCCATCACTGCAGAGCAACTCCACAGCCAGCCTGTGCGTGTCGGCCTGGGGACCTGGGGGGCCGGGGCTCGCCCCCCAGCTAACCCAGGCCAGACCTCCGCTGCCTTGGCTGCACATGCGGGGCACTGGGCACGTGGCAGGGTGTAACGAAGCACCCTTTGGTGGGACACTACTGAGAGTATCAGTTCAGGGCAAATTGCTTAGAGCAGGGCAGTGACAGCCCAAGGCGCGGGCCGAGGGAAGTGCTGGCCGCCCCTTCCCACAGCCCCCATTGGCCTGCAGCAGCGAACTGCGGCCAGTGGGAGCCGCGATCGGCCGAACCTGCGGACGCGGCAGGTACACAAACCGGCCTGGTCTGCCAGGGGCTTTCCCTGAACAAGCGGCGCCCGACTTTGAGAAGCACTGGCATAGAGTTCTGTCCATAGGCCTGTCCCTGCCTGCCTTGCTGAGTCACAAGGCGTATCTGCCTTCTCTCAATGGGTCAGCTGTGTAGCTGTGACGATGCGGTTCTGGCGGGATCCAAATGAGGGTGCCAATTCAGGACAAATTGCTCAAACAGGGCAGTTACAGCCCAAGGCTGGGGTTTTTCCACCTCTAAGACAAACCAAACCAGCCAGACTAAGAGGACTTCGGTCTCACCCCACTGGCTAACCGCAAGTCTCACAAGCAATCTCCTAAGACACTCCAGTTTCCCAGTATCACCACCAGTGCCACTCGTTATGGGGACAAATGGTTATGAAAACCAATACCCCAGTAAAAGATAAAAGGTTCTCTCGATCCCATAGGACCAAGCCCCAGATCCAGGTCAATATACAAATCAGATCTTACCCACAAATCACGCTGTTGCCAATCCTTTAGAATCTAAAATCTAAAGGTTTATTCATAAAAGGAAAAAGATAGAGATGAGAGCTAGAATTGGTTAAATGGAATCAATTCCATACAGTAATGGCAAAGTTCTTGGTTCAGGCTTGCAGCAGCGATAGAATAAACTGCAGGTTCCAATCAAGTCTCTGGAATACATCCCCCGCTGGGATGGGTCATCAGTCCTTTGTGTAGAGCTTCCGTTTGTAGCAAAATCCCTCCAGAAGTAAGAAGCAGGATTGAAGATGAAATGGAGATGAGGCATCAGCCTTATATAGTCTTTTCCAGGTGTAAGAACCCCTCTTTGTTCTTACTGTGGAAAATTACAGCAAAATGGAGTCTGGAGTCACATGGGCCAGTCCCTGCATACTTTGCTGAGTTACAAGGCGTATCTGCCTTCTTTCAATGGGTCCATTGTATAGCTGATGGTCCTTAATGGGCCATCAAGCAGGCTAGGCAGAGCTAACACCAGTTTGTCTGGGATGTCACCCAGCAGCATAGCATAAGTTTGCCATACAGACAGTATAGAGCCAATATTCATAACTTCAACTACAAAACTGATACACACATGTAGACAGCATAATCATAACCAGCAAACCATAACCTTGTCTTAGACACCTCATTTGACCCCCTTTATACAAGATTTGGTGCCACTACAGGACTTTGGTTGCAACCAAGTTCTATATGGTCCCAGATTATGTCAATAACGTCACACCTCCAATGCAAAATTGATGTAGGAAGCGATGACACAAACATCACTGACTGCATCCCAAGAGCTCCCCATCCTTGGGTCTGTCTCACTACAGCTAGTATTGGGGTTAGAAGCCATATCAGAGTATAACAGAAATGGTTTATCAAAATTATGTTCAACAACATGATTGAATCTCTTTACAAACTCAAGGTAAAACTTAGTTAGAACAATAGTGGATTGGATCTGCTCTTGCAGCATGGTTCCTCTATGTCTCATGTGATCTTGCCAAGAGCTAAAGAAAACAGCTACTTTATCCATACAAGCTCTGGCAAATGTTTGGAACCCAATTAACATTAAATCAATGTAGATATTAATGTTGTTCATAGTCCAGGAATCTTGGCATTTAGCTGTGAAAGCAATATGGTAGTGTGCCTCAGTTTCCCTTTTTATACAGCACATCAGGTCTGGAACGTTTTTTCTCCTGTGAAAAGTTCCAATACTGTTTACAGGCATTAACTGTGAAACATCAGTATAACAAGGCCTTTTAACATAAAGTGTGTTCTCATGTATT